GGACATATCTGAAAATGATACCACGGGTACCTGAGGAGTTGGTTCCACAAAAGACCCCTACAGTCTTGTTAAATGGAGCTGTTGAAGCATGAAGTAGATAAGAAAATCAGTCTTCTTCGATATTTTGCTTCTGTCATATACCTGCGTGCATTTAAAAAAGGAACTTGATACCTTAGTACCGAGGGGACTCTGACTGGATTGTTTTCTTGTCTGAATCCAAAAGTTCAAGTTCCTTGTCTTTGAGAGTTCGCCAATATTCGAGTCTGCCACTTCTAAGAGGCAACCTGAGCTTTTAGAAAGTGTTTATAAAATTACTTTCTGGATATACATGTGCTGGAATACTGATTTAAGGACTCCCTCAGGAAATTCAGAAAGGATAGTAAAACATCAGGAACTATTTTGAGGAAGTTTCTTTGGTATTTGATCCCATTCTAAACCGCTGGGAGCACTGGAAAAATCTTGAAAATTGCTGACAGCCAGAATACTTAGGAACCTGCTCAGGAATAACCCCACTGTTTAGATCACCTTGGGAACTAAAACCCTTTCCCTTGGGAGCCACATTACATGACTATCCAAAAGTGACCTCTAGAAACTATGTTGATTTATTGTAGCTGCCCAGAAAGCATATAAATGATATAAACATGTAGCTTTGCAGTGTTCTGTTTCATGATACATGCCTACATCAGTTCAGGTGAGTTTATGAGGTCACTGATGATGAGAGACCTGAGGTCACTGGGCCTGTGAGGTCACACACCACCCAGGGTAAACCCAAACAATGATCCAGGTTGGCCATGGGACCCCTGGCCTGGGGTTGTTTGTGTGGGGGTAGGGGGTAAGCTAGGAAAATCTGTGGCATGTGCCAAGGTGAGATTGTGTGTCCTTTGGTATTGAGGACACCCCTAATTCCAAATATACAGTACTGCTGAGAAACCACTCCATATTGTGTCTGGTTTGTTCTTGAATCTCCAGTGTGGATGTCTTCAAGGTTGTGTTTTGGCACAAAGCCTTCTTATAAAAAGTGAGATACATGTGTTTGCCATGCACATTGAGGACTCAAATGGAAAGACCATCTTATGTTCGCTCCCAAGTGAAAATTGGAATTGGATAATTGATAATGACAAATCACTCTCCATGTAAATGCTGTGAAAAAGCATCTTTTCTCAGGAATCTTGAGTGAAGTCTCGATCTGTTCGACTGGAAAAAAAGTTCTCTCTCTGAATTAGTCTAATTATGCAGGGATGGAGTCGCAGGAAATTAATCTTTGTGCAAAGAGAATGAATTTTTACTCTGGAAGAAAGAGTGAAAATTCATTTTGCAGTTAAAATTAGCGTAGCAGATGTAAGAGGGCTGGCTTATGTCACAGCAAATCATGAATGTCGATCAATTCATTTTGTAGGGGTTAAAGATGGAATGGACTCTTGTAAGGTGTAAGTTAAATAGGACATTTGTAGTGAAGGTCGAGCTTGTGTCTTCAGGTGTATCTCAAAGACAGCAAACAAAGTCAGATATTGGTGAATGAGAGCCATGCAAGTTTGAAATAAACAAAGTCAGCCAAACCAACAACTTTTGGAAACACAAATAAACAATTAGGCCAAACTAAAAAGACAAATAAATTAGATATCCTCTTGGCCAATTCCTCCTGGTTGTCTGTCCATCAAGGAATTTTAATAACGGCTGAACAAACAGAAATAATTGGAATTGACCAGAGGCCGTTATCATCACTGAACCAATGCAGAAGATCAGCACCATTATACATAATGACTTCCACAGCGAAAAAGTATGCGGAGTTAGCAGCCACTACCAGATATAACGAGCATTGTCCAATGACTATACAGACATATATACACATGTATCATGCCCTTTGATGTTTTAGGGGATGTTTTGTTTGGCTAAATATATTGGGCTGTTTATTGATGGCATTGGTGATTATCAATTGGCTGTTTATTCAAGTCTGTGCTGCCAACATAAACAAGGCTCTGTTGCATGTTTATATTTTTGCAATCGAGATCTTTGTTTTCAAAGATTGGGGAAGTGACATGACGCCAGGAATAGGTGATAAAATGACCCTATTCAAGGTTTTACTTGTAATCTGTCTTTATTCCTACTCGCACTTAGCACAGCTGTAAGCGACAAATAAGTGAGGTATTGACTCAGACTCATATTGACTCAGACCCAAGCCAGGCTAAATTAGTCTTTTCAGATCACTCCACTTGGTGTGAAGCTAGCTTTGGGAGAGCTTTTCACTTCTCATCCTCTTCCTTTTCAACTGTGCGCTTATTTTCTTTAAAGATGCAGTTTTCCTTTTACTGTATGCTACAGTGCTCCTGCTGTTGGGCTAAAATTGCCGGAAGTGCAGACTGCATTGTTCAAAAAGGTTAACATGTCAAGATTCTGTTGCTGTTGTGACCATATACACAGCTCATCAATGATCGTATTGTCATTGCTTTCATGACCACAGTTGGGCTAAAATTGCCGGAAGTGCAGACTGCATTGTTCAAAAAGGTTAACATGGCAAGATTCTGTTGCTGTTGTGACCATATACACAGCTCATCAATGATCGTATTGTCATTGCTTTCATGACCACATTTCGCAGCTTCTTTTCAAACAACGGATGCCATGATCTCGCAAACTCACACAAACCTTATGTCCGGCCATCATCAAAGCTGGTGAGGCCCAGGTATTTTAATACTAACGTTAGTTGGGTCATTGACTACACTTTGGAATCCAGACTTTCAAATGTTAAATCTAGCATTTTAAAAATTAATTCCCATGTTCAGAGCATTAATGAGTCAATTTTGAGTTTTACATGTAGGCCTAAATCAACGTTCTCAACAATTTTCTTAGAAAACGTTGACTTGGCATTTTGAACGCCGAATGCACATCTACAGTCTGAATGCTTAAATTCTGGATTTGGTACTTCCACAATGTTGTCACTTACCGCATGTGTAAGTGTTGAATCCTAAACTTCACTTTGTTTTTGAGCATGCAACGAGATGGAAATGTGTCTTGGGAGGGTAGACATTGGAGACACACCGCATTGTGAAAAACTCCCATTCAAAATGAATAAGTTGTAAATTCACAAATGCTTTCCCTATCAGCCAGTTCATACTCAGTGGGAAGTGAACACAAATGTGATTTTGCAATGTGAGGTGAAATATTCATTCTGTAAATTTGCTGGAGTTGACACGTTGCAACTCCGTCAAGTTGGCCACAAGTATAGAGACTGAGAGAGCATAAAATGAAAGCCAAAACCTTTTTTTTTTTTTTACAAACCATCAAATCACAAACCGGCACAAAATTTCCTTTTAGATGTTATTCTGCATTTCCTCTGATCCCAACTCAAGCCAGAGTCTCATTTCGAGGTTATTTTCTTGCCTAAAGTGCATTCTATGTCTAGTCAGGTTTATCTCAGTCATCGCTTCCTAATCTATAAGAGGATAACCTTCCAGAAAAAAAATGAATTACATCCTGTCAGTGCATTTATGAGGACTTTGAAAAATGACCCAATGAAATTTAACAAGCGTGCAATTTTAGTGCTTGAAACTGATGTAGCAGAATGGTCAGTGAAACTGGTGAAGCTATTCAGTGATGTCAGTGAACCACACAGGAACTAATAGAGTAAACCAATGAATTAAACTTCTGTTTCAAATAGTAGCTTTGAAGACAGGAATATAAACAGTTTAAAGCTGAGTCAATTCAAATAATTCACTATTTGAATATTTGACCTTCAGTTCGATTGAATATCCAAATATTCAGTCGTGCCAATTAGCCAATTGTTGATGAACAAACCATACACAAAATCAGTTACAGTAACGCACACAATTGTATATTGTAATCACTAAAATAGCTACTCATGTCTAGGGATATTTCCAGCCGTGATTTAGCAAGATTTAAGAGATGAACAGCACTTCTTGTCCTGTTGAAAATTTCTATTCATTTTAAAGTTTTTAATGAATAATTTCCTTTTTTGAATCGTTAGAAGATGTCTGTCACTTTTCATTTGAATCTGCTTAAAACTAGCCTCCAAACTGCAATATTTCTCATTTAAAACAAACGAAAATTCTTCCTTCCTTTTCGTGAATTTTGCATATGAATATTCAAATTCAGAAAATAAGACTTGAATATGCAATAATTGATCAAATATTCAGATATTCGGCACCGCCCTGAAATAGTTTTGAGTCTTAGGGTCATTTGTCTGCCAATAACAAAATACGTTATACAGCCCTATCAAGTGATAAAGAAAATTTCTTTTATACTGGGAGACAACATTTATACATCCGTGTATGCGTACATAGTGTACATGTACATGTACATGGGACATGCAGATATCTCAAGTGTGTCTCGGTTTCCGCCTTCACTTGGCCTCTATGCCGGCCGTCCAGGTTCCCTGCGTCCGGCGACTTCTCTGAGTCGAATTCAATTCCTGTCGTCCAAGTTGGCAGTGAATGTTGATAGTTAATGCAACTGTCGCAGAGCCATCAGATTTGACATTTGTAGAATTGATGTTCGTTATTTGTCATCAAATACGCAGAGTGCTTTTTTTTTTTGTTATTTCTTTTTTGGCTGCGAGCGGGGAACTAGTTCCTTAAAGTGCTGGGCTGTGTTGCCTGAATTGGCAATCGCGTGCAACTGTAGAAATTTCTACTTGGATTACAATTAACAGATGGGAAAAAGGTCAGGCTTCTATATGCATGTAAATGAGCTTGAAGTAGGAGTTACAGCTGCATATTTTGGTTAAAAGACTGCCCTCATTTGTCAACATTTATGCCTACTTCCACTACATGCAACAATTTTATTTTTCATTTCACTTCATCAGTTTTTTCTAGCCATAACATTTTGCTGGCCGTTACCACTGAGCTGTGAATTCCTGTCATCCACAGAGAGAGAGAGAGAGAGAAAGAAAAAAAAATAACTGTTTCCAATATTGATGTGGGGAAAAAATTGATATTGCATATATTAGTCTGTTACCTGCAAGAGTGTAGGCAGTCTCCTTGACTAAATATGGTCGATCATCTTCATGAGGCCCAGATACCAGTTCTGGACCTCCAACCTTTTGCGCATATTTCACCCTTGTCTCGAGCTGGCCGCGTCTTCATCCACTCTTCCCGCGCCCCCGATCGAATCTCAGCTCTCCCCCCCCTCCAGTTTGTTTAGCACGGATGACAAAGACAGATGATGTGGAGGGGAGTGCTTTCATAGTTCTCTTCTCTGGCCTAAAGCTCTCTCCCCCTTCATTTTCTCTCCCTTTCTGACTGGCTGGCTGGTTGGTTGGTTGGCATAGCCGGGGAGGGGACAAGCAGCACAGGGCACATGCACACAGGCCCCGCTCTCCCCAGCCCCACATTCATTGCCTTAATTACGACACATATTTCTCAATAGTTGACGGATTGGTAGCTGTCAAGAGACACTGTTGGCTACATCACTAGTGTGTGAGAGTTGGTGTAACAGTGTGAACGTGTGTAGCCGACTGCAGTCCACGGCGTCTCCCCTCAGTTTCTCTATATATCCGGAGGTATTTACCACCGTGGCTGAGGACTGTGGGATTTTACATTTCGCTCTGCCAGTATTGGAGCTGTGTAAGAGTTGTTCACTGTGTGGAGTTTTATTTTTTTGTGTTAGTGGTAAGTTTTGGGACATAGCACTTTGCTTTGTTATGTCTTTGTGAAACCTTGCATTGTTTACTGGTGTGGATAAGGAGAAGTTTTCTGGAACTTTAAGGATACATATTAGACTAGTAGATACACAGGAGTTTTAGATTTTTTTGTCACATAAAGACACTTATAGCTTTTCAAAAAAGAACAAATGTAGGTAGGAAGATGGGGTTAGCTTGAGTTTTAAGTTTGGTTCTGTCTTATTGCTTTGCCAGTTGGAAGTGAGCACTGATTTCACCGAGAGGCGTCAGATCCGAGCGGCGCTCCGTGAACTGCAGTTTGGTTGCATCCCGGGCCTGCTCGCCTCCCACAGCAGCGGCAACAACAAGAAGTACAGCTTCGGTCGCATTGAGCTCAAGATGGCCGGCACCGCAAAAGGGGCGGAGCTAGACCGGAAGCTGAGCCAGATCACGGACGAGGACGAAATGACGAAGCTGGTCAGTTTTATCCCGTGAAAGTTTTGCTGTGATTGTTTGTCCGTTGGTCTGTTTTTTGCCTGTTTGTTGGTTTTATTGGCTTGGGAACAAAAGGTTTAGATTTGTTTATATTAAGTATGTACATGTAGAATATTTTGTTCGCGGGGCAGTTTTTCGTTTTTCTTGTTTGTTACCGTCTGGATTGCAGTTGAGTTTAATTTGTTCAATTCTTTGGGTTTCCCTTTTCAATGTTGTCAGTTTTATTCACATTTTGGTTTGTAATAAGTTTTTAAGCTGAGGACATGAAGGACCTTCTGCCCTGTTTGTTTTGTATCTCTTGAATACATTCACGTAACGGTATGTATTAGAGCCTCCTACATACTCATATAATGCCAAAGAGTTTGCGTACACCCTAGACAGACTTACGTTAATTCAGTTACTGAGTCCTCCTAATTACATTTGTATGCACATGCGTCTTTACTTGGTTGAGTACACGTTTGCAATTTGCATAATTTGCCGCGTTTACCGCGTACTTGTTTGTGTAATTGACCAGCGAGTGATGTGACATCTAGTAGATGTCGTGCGTGCGCCAGCAAAGACCTGCATGGAAGCGCATGGCTGGCGTTGTTCTGGCGGCTGTAAATTGAGGCAGGCCGATCATAATGCTCATCAGTTCCTATGCGGCCAAATTGAAGACATAAAAAAGACACAAAACCGGGATACATTTCATAATTTGACAAACTGGGTAAGCTTCTAACTCCCCACAGAACTCACCCCTCGTGTGCTTCTCAGAACCACCGACCAAGTAATATGGAAAGTAGCCATGTGCACTCAGAAGTATGTACATGTACAGTAGTTGACAAGGGTTTCCTTTTTGCCTGAGAAATTAAGTACAACACATGTTAGTTGACTGACTTTTCAAATGGATCTTAGTGGTGTGTTTTATTTTAGTTTTACGTCCGTACTTGGTATGTACTACAGTGTAACAAAAGTAATACTTTCTCAAAGTTTCATTTCTAAGACCTTTGGTGTTGTGGTTCTGCTGTAGTAGGCCCAATCGGAAGATGTTTAGGCAGAAAAGGCCAAATTTAAAGGAGAAATTGTTCTGTGTGCTCATTAAGAAGTGACATAGAATCAGGGATAATATTTTGCAGGTATCATCAACTGTTTTTTGAGAGAGGGAAAAAAAGTGCCTTTTTAAAAGTTGAGATATTCCCCATCAAGAAAATTGACGATCGAGAAATTATTTTCTCATTTCAAAGTGGCATAGTTACAAGTACATGTATATCCAGGTGGAAGGCTATGGTTCATTTTCGGAGAAGCTTTGGGTTGGGAAACGCAGGGGGTATTTAAGTTCGCCCCAAAACACATTCATAAACGTCTAGGTGACTTGCACTGGCTTGCCCCAAAGAATGCAATTAGGGTAAAAATAAACCAGACATTCTGTGAAGTGCTTACAAGCATAGAAGTAATTAGCCAGTAACTTCTAGAGTCAGAATTACTGCCTAATCTATCTCCCCACCCAAGAGGCAGTGTCAGCAGCAATCAGGAGGCCCATAAATCGTCCAATGAGAATTTGTTTTTGTTATTTGTTGTTGTCCTCATCATGGTCGCAACTGATACTAGACCCGGCGAAGACCGGCACTCACAACCATGTGCATGAACGCGTATGGCAAAGAATTCCGAGGCGCACGGGTTCCGCGCTGGGGCATGCTCTGGCCATCAGCCGCCATAAATGTCGGTATTTCTGACATCACGTTGCAACTGTTGAGCCTCGCCGTCCGGAGGGGTGGAGATGAAGAATGTAACAGATGCGTAGGGAAAATTGAGACAGACCTCTCAACTGATAAACAGTGCTGGCGTTAAGTGGCTTTTACGTTGCAAATACGCTCAACTCTTCGTCGACAGGCAGAATGGCTTTAAAAGAATCTCATGGACCTACATTGAAACCTTGGTCTGTTTTAAATGCGGGTGAAAAAAATTAGAGAAACTACTCAGAGAACCATTCTAAAAGAGTGTATGTTGAAAAAAAATGTCCTTTATGCAGGCTTGAAAAAACCTACAGATGGAACAAACATGTATTTCCAGTCCTTTTAGCATACAATCCAACATCCTTGGTTTCAAAGAAATGGGAAACCTTCCATTTGGAAGAGTGTGCCAACCTGCCTAGCATGAGTCTTCTGCACAGCTTCCAACTGAGTGGCAAATTGAGGAATTTGCCTTTAGCTATATTAAGGTTTCCACCTCCATTCTCAAATGTAGAAAATGCTTCTGACAGAAATTCTTTAACTTTTACCCCAAAAAAACACCCAATAATGCACTGTATAAATTGTGATCAAATTTATTGATTCCTGAGCATTTTCTCCTCTGAAATAACCATAAATTCTAAAGTAACATAAAAATCATTGAAATTCTTCGAAAACACTTGTACATGTTGTATGTGTGATCAAATCTGTGGTTTCTGCCGTTTCCTTTTCCCCTCCCAAATGCAAACAAATTCTGGACATAAAAATCGAAATTCTCCAAACTCTTCCCCTGATAGTTCACAAGATACTATAAAGTAAATTTTTTTTACAAACTTAGGAAAAGAGGCTGAAGAATGTTGTCTATGTTTGTTGAATGTGGAAATTACCGTTGCCTTATTTGATGCAATGCATATTGCAGACTTATGAGAGACCAGATACAACTAGACCAAAACAACAACGGAACAAGAAGCTTACATGAATGCAAATATGAACAAGGACGTGCTCTGCTTACACAAATAAAAAAGAGTTCTTGTGACACCAATGTAAATAAGGACATGTTGCTACACAAACATTGAAGAAAAGTTAACAGAGCCACAGATCTGTGCTTCCTGGTGTCTTTTACCATAAACATAAATAGCAGTGGTATTGATTATTGCCAAATTGTAGTGCCTGGTTTGTTTGTTCATTTGTTTGTTTTTGGGGGGCCTTTCAGAGTTTTGTGTTCAAAGATTTTCCACAAAATTTACTGTGGATTTGCACTTTATATTTTGAATCATCAAACCCAACAAAATATTGTTGATATTAATTCCGACCAAGACGTGCACATGGGACATTCCTGAAATGTCTGCGATACCTCCACGAAGAAGCACAAATAAGAAGAAATAGAAGTCACCTCTCAGAAAGTGCAAGAAACAGTTCCACATTCCGTTCGGTGAGCGTAGCCGACCTTTATCCCTATTCACGCAGCCAATATATTAACTCGCATGAATGGGCATTGCCTCTTATTGACACCTGGCTGTGGTGTATTTTTCTGTTTAGATGTCCTTTTCTTTTTCTCCCTCCGCGAAATCAAATAATATCCCGACCGGCTCCTCGTGAAGGTAGCGTGTTTACTTGAGAGGGACCCAGTTCACCTCGGGGGTACAGTCCCTCACAATTGCGGGGTCGCAACCTACAAATGGGCCGGCCTAACCTTTGTATCGGTATCTGGGAAGCTGGGGTATGAAAAATGAAATATTGTAAGGGGATCAGATTGGAATGAATGGAGACGTTTGATGTGCTAGAGGCACTTTCTTCCTGAACAGGGACCGAAGTAAATATTATCTCAACAATTTTTCATTCCTTGTTTAATTCCTTCTACAATGACCTACCTTCTGAGGCCAATTTAAAAAACAAAGTGGTTTCTTGTCCGCAAACTCTTCTCTCTCACCCACCTTCCTCTTATTGGCTTTTTTTAATTCTTATTTTTGCAATGTGTATTTTGACATTTTGTATCCAACAAAATGTGAACTTGTCAGAGTGAAAGTTCCTTTAGATGTAAAAGGTATCAGCAAAAGGCTAAAAAACAACTTTGCGACCTTTTGAACAATAAAGAAGATTCACCTTTCCTCTTGCCTTTTTTTAAAAACCTGATTTCTTTTCACTCGGTCCAGTTAGTAGTTGTTTCTAATCTTCTAATGGTCTCTAGAACCATGGAACATCATTGATATCTACTTTGCATCTTAACATTTCTTTGTTGGCAGAAGAAAGCCCCAGTGCGTGGCATGCCATCGGCAGTAAAACCTCAGGGCAAATTCACAGTCTAGTCTCCCTCATTGCGAACGTATTTCTTGTCCATTTTTAAGCTCCAGTTTTTTGTTAATCAGAGCCCAGGAAGATCACATCATGTTCCACCGAATCTGCCATCTTGAATTGGAATAAAAAAGAACCAGCTTTCCTCTTGCCTTTTTTTAAAAACCTGATGGAGAAACTTTTTTTTCTTTTCACTCTGGTCCAGGTAGCAGTTATTTCTAATGTTTGTGTTGGTTGAGTCTGTTTAATGATTTTGCAGTAATGGATGGGCTGAGGGGCTTTGCTAACCCTTTCTCTCAGCTTGCGTTAATACAAATTTTACGCCAGCGAAACGGGTTGAAATTACAAATACAGTCGATTGCTACATAACACAAGACTTTCGGAATAACTAGACACATTTAAGGAAATTAAATTCAATGAAATCTGTGACAGATATGTTGACCTGGGCCCCCAAAGTGGTCATACTTGGGAACGGTTAAGACAAATACACCAACTGTCCAAGATTTGCCCTTCAAGCTGTATGTTTCCACACCAAGCGCATGGTGGAGGAGGTCTTGAGAACCGTGCAACGTCATTGATATGTATGTAAAATGTATCTTAACTTATCATTGTTGGCAGAGGAAAGCCCTAGTGCATGTCATGCCGTCCACAGTAAAACCCGAGGACAAATTCACAGTCCAGTCTCCCTCATTGGGAATGAATGTCTTGTCTTTCTTTAAGCTCTGATTTTTTTGTTAATCAGAGCCCAGGAAGATCACATCGTGTTCCGCCCGAGCATTCACTCCGTAATCACCAATTACACACCATTGGTGACCAATTGTGAAAAGGGTCACCGAAATCCAATGGATCGGTGCCTCTTTGATGTGATCCGTTCTTTGTGGAATTTTTTTTGTTAGTTCCTCCTTCTGATATCTAGTGGCACTGGGGCCTTGGTTGGCCGTGTGCGAGGGACTTCATCGAGGATTTACAATCAAGCTGAGATTTGGAGATTATGCAGTTATCTTAAGGAGTGGAACAACATCAAAACAGCTTTATTTTGGAGGCTTTGCAGGTGTTTTAACAAAACAATACAAATGGAGATTAGAAACCCGCTCTGCAGAGGTTGCTCTGGCATGTGAATGGTACGTTTTGTGCAGAATGAGAAAAGTCAGGTCTCCCGGGGCGGGATTTTCAAGGTTGAACAAATATGTTGACAAAATCGTCCGACTGAAAATAAATGCCAGCTGAGCAGAAGGGTTCTTTGTGCCTCTCTTACTTCCAAGGAGAAAATTTTTTATTTCACAGTCAAACTGGGGCCAAGATGATTAATTCAAGGCAGTGGATCAAATCTGTATTCCAAGGGACTTTCACTCTGGTCATTGGGTGCTTAGCTTCAGCAGGCATCAAAGTTCCTTCTTTGATCACATGCTATATGTAGGAAACCTTTCTCACAAAGTTGTCGATTGATTGACAGAACTTACGGCATTAGTTGTCTGTGCCAATATTGATACAGTCTGGGTTGACACCCTTCTACTGGATCCATATGTTGCATGAATCCATATGTCTTAAAGATGCCATCAGTTCGAAACAGAAAGCTGTGACACTGGAAGACCTACTGTGTAAAAAGGATCAGATAAAATCAAAGACCACAAAGCACAGTTTCACCATTTGCTACAAGAAGGATGCAGTCTGATAAAAATCTGTTGTTTCCCTGAATTAAATTACATTCCATGACTTCTTGGCAGTGTTTTCAAAGAACCTTTAATGTAAGTCACATTGTTTTGAATCATTTGTTGTATACTGTAGATTGATTTTGTAGAAAGGCAATGCAACATTTCTCCATGTTGTAGAAGCAGGAGAAGTTTTCCTTCTCGTCATAATTTGGTTCTGCTGTCAATCTTCCAAGACTGCACTCCTTATCGTATACTTTGGATCAAGGCCACCCATCTCTCTCACAATCTCTCTGGCAGACAGTGCCAAGACCAGGTACACTACATGTGTACCTCTCTGCTGCATGTTTCTCCAATAAAATCCACACCCTTCAAAGAATCCTCTAAATCCATTGACCTAATTTTTTTCTCTTGCAAGAATTTTAACTGACTGGTTTTGTTAGAAAACATACAGCGACAACTTTTTTTCTAATGTTTTGAGTCCCAGCTCAAGTTACTGTTTATAAGTTGGAGGAGATTTGAAGGATATAAGTGCAGGGATACAGTTATTATGGATGGATGTACAGTGCAAGAGGCCGAGGTCACATGACAGGGCCTGGCCCAGACAGCTGCCATCTAGGCCATGGGGTCAATGACCTCCACATTCTTTTGTCCAGTGAACTAGAGTACATGAAGCCTTGAAGGGAAGGATCTTCAAATGCTGGGCTCCACGCAGAACTGCACGCTTGCCAGAACCAGAAAATCTGGAACTGATTTGTTGAGGATTTTTGTGAGGCTTTTGAACTGTCTGTGATGAAAAACTGTGACCAGGGTCATGACTGCGCAGATTCCCATTTCATCAATGATATCTCTTCGTACCTCTTATGAAGTGTTGTTAGTATAACTAAGTCTTTTTCTACAAGCCTCAAGTCATTTTTTCCAGGTCAGGTCACAAGTCCCTAGTCGTTTTTTAAAATCTACATGTGAATTCACGATTAGCATCGCACTTACACACTTTTGTTGGTATTCTTTATTGATGATGTGACCTGTGACTTGTGTGCCTCATTTTTCATCCAAACATGGCAATATGTCCAATGATGAAACATCAGTGCAATGAAACAGGCAGGCTTGCTGCAAAGTCAAGATTATTTGAGTATGTTTGTTTCCTTGTGATTGTTGCAGTAAAAGTTTGTAATGTCAACAAGTCAAACTTGTCATAGTTAAGTCATCAAATAAAGTCAATTTTTACCAAGTCCTCACCAGTAATTTTTTTCCAATTAAAATCAAGTTTCAAGTCAAAAAAATATTGTGACTGGAGTCTTTAGCTTTAAAGGCGTGAGCAGTCCGGCTTTTTTCTGCCAGATGAAAGAGACAACAAAATCTGGGGTTTACAAACTTAAGAGTGCAGATGAGATTGCTGTGACTTTGTGTGACATCTGTAATTTACATCATGCAGAGGACTTTGAAAAGATATTTGGAATAAAAAAATCATCAAATAGGCTTCGTGTTTGAATATTGGTCAACGATAACAGAAATCGACATTTTTTTATTTCAATTTGTTTTTCTCTTGCAGCTTCATGCTACAGAGGATTATGAAGATCGTCGGAAGATCCGCACGGCTCTCCGAGACCTGAAGAAGAAGAAAATAGGTTTGCTTCTTCGTTTTTTTTTATAATCGCCCCCAGAAATTTGGGGAGTCAACTGCTAAGGAAGTTGTATGGAAAGAGTTGTAAGGCAGATTTATATAGAAATCCGCACAAGGTGTTGTTATCTAAATGTATCAAATTCTTGAGAAAGAGTTGTGCGGCAGATCTGTAACCTACTCAAAATGTTTTGTCTGTCAAACTACAAAGAAATAAGGGAACTTATTGCCAACCTGACTACCGCTCAAAAATTTCTAAGTTGCTCGAGTAAGAATGGTTATCCATGCCAAATTTTCTGTTGAAAGTATTTCACGATCGGCCAGGTGTAGAACTGAAAAAAGAAAGGAAGTTGTGGAAGAATTTTGAAATTACAAATGAGCATAGGCCAGGATGTCATGAGCATGCACAATATCACACCAAACTTACAGAAACTGCTCTGTCTTCGGTAGTCCTAGTCCTACATGCTACAAAGTCAGTGGACTTTGATATTGTTTTTGAACTTTATGTTTATAAGCCTAGCAGCTCACTGCGTTGCTGCTACTCAAACTGGCATGTCCTTTTGCAGTTCACATGGATCCTGGCGATGAGCATTCCAGAATAATTAATGACAGGATGACAGCCAGCAAACCATCAGCATAAGATGCTTACACTTCAAAGTGTCGACGCCTGACCCTGGGCCCCAATCATGGTGATAATTATGGTACTAGAGGCACACAATAGTAGATGTGGCCACTATCTGCTGTCATTCCCAGGGTCTCATTATTAGAAGGTCATTTCAAGGTCGCAGATGTCACTCCGGTGGTTACAATTACACCAGCAGGCAAAGCTCAGATTAAGTTGTGGGCAAAGGAAATAAAACAGGATGTAGGAATTGGCAATTGGATTTAGGTGGGAATGATGTATGCTGGCCTCTCCAGGCCATCGCTCTTTGATCAGGCTGCAAAGAGATATTCTATGTAGAACCTTGTGCACAAAGCTGTTAATTGATGGACATGATCTGCAGTCTATCTTGTGCACCAGTTTGTCGTGTGTGTGTGTGTATCCGGACATGTAGGTTCTGGGTTAATAGCAATCCACCAGTGAAGCAGTGTGTGGCAGTTTTCTTGGGATGAAGTAAGCTTGAAAGAAAAATAAGGGCAAGTCCATGCACAATTTGGTGTACATTATCACTGTAAAAAGCAGAGGTGCTGGAAGAACTACATGTAAAAGTGACCAGTTAAAACTCATGACAGAATTTGCAAGATGGCCACGACCAAGTTTAATGCAAAGATGAAAGTGGGTTCTTGAAGGACAGAACTAGTGCATATCGATGGGGGAAATTTTTTCTTGTAAGAAACGGCGAAATTGCATTTTATGTCAAAAAGTAACCACTTTACAAAGCAGAAAATCCAGCTGTCTCTGGAAAATGTACAAATTGAAAATTCTTCATCCCGACCTTGTTATGTATAGATTTTAAAGAGAGGCTAAACCCAATTTTTCCCCGACTCAGTTTCCACGCTGGCCAGACTCCGACTTCTTTGAGCAAGGAATCCAACGCCGAGGGCTCGGATAGAAAAACGATAGCATCACAATCGGTCGGTCTGCACGGGCACAAAATCGAAAAAAAAAAAGCTCGTGTGCCACACATGCACGAACTTTAAATCTAAATATGGGAGAGGCTCTCTTGAGTGTCAGGCACAATGATATCAGATCTGAGCCGCTTGACGCGACCAGCATCTGTATTGTCACTCACTGACACCAGAATGATCTCCCAGTCATGTTTGTTTACAGTGGGGGCACCCTGTTTCTTTGATGGGCAATAGATCGTGTAGAACCCAGTCATTAGAGGACAGCCTTGGCCAGACGAAACCCAAGCGTATCGATTTACATGTACATGTATGTACATCGCAGTTTGAAAGGAAGTTTGATGTACCGTAAGAGTGCACCCTTGCTGAACTCACTTCCTTCAAGAAACACAAACCACTTGAACTTGCCAAACATAACTCACTTTCAAATAGGATTAGGGTGGAGTATTCTTACCTGGACCTTACAATTGCCACAAATCATTCAGAAAGCCAACATACATGACTTTTTTAGGACTTGCAAACACATCTGACCCAATTGGCAGCAGTAAATTATTTTATGCGTATGACTGAAGGTACATGTACTCCATACAATGACTTACTGGCTTCACTATGTACACGTATGTGGGAGCCCCACTGGAATTTGTTGATACAAGGGTGCACCTTTAAGTGTAATGAGTGCCCAAGGTGGGTTTTTGTAAAAGTTACACAATCTCGGGAGTGTAAGAACCCATGGTGGGAAAGGAAATGTACAGGAAAAGGAGATATTGGAGATATTTCCTTTTGTTTGTGGAAGGTGCTACCCGTGGAACTGGGTTTGCAACCAACACGATTTTGGCACCTGACTTCATTTGGGTGATTGTTCTCTCTATCATCAGTCGGTCCTGGAGATGTGGTTAACCATAGGTGTGGACTACATGTACATGTACATTGCTTGTTGTGAGATTGCACAGTATTGAAGTACTGAGTGCTCCAGTGTTTTGTTTTTTTTGGACGCAATGGTGGGAGCAAGTTCTCTCCATCGTTGCCGTGGCAGCAATGACTTTAAAGGGCTGATGGCTTTTTGGAATGCAAGAAATGCAAATAATGGTGAGTTGTGTTGTCATGTACTGGGTTTTTTTCCCTCCCAAACTGTTGAAAAATAAAAACTAAACTATTGTTTTCTTTACTGGAATCTCTGAATGACAGAAGAATGACATCATCTGTGTGACTTTCTTCAGACTTACTTAATATCAGAGTGGCGTCATACTCAATTAATCACTATCATAGATGGAGTACATGAAGGTTGAGCATTTAACCCTCAGGAATGACTGTTGCCAAAACAGGATGTTCAACTGATTGACTTCCCCATTACTGTAGCTTAGCATGTCAGGGATTCTTGATCGCAAATGTTTGATGTAAACTAAAGGAGTTCCAACTTGTAAAATGCAAATGTATGCAGATGCACGATAATTAAGCAGACTGCCATGAGTAATCCTGTTGTTCTTTTGCCGTCAGTGTTGACGGAAAATAAATCCATAAAAGTTTGCTTTGCCGAGTCCGGTGCCCATTGCTTCATCACTCCTGATGCTCTTTTGGCCGGTTGCCAAACCGTGCCTTCCTTTCATGTCTTCAACTTCCATCTGATGTCAAGAGATTTATTCAGAAGTCTTTAATGTCAAAACAAAATGGAAATTTATATCGTAGCACTGAAAAGAAATTTAATGTTTCAAAGAAACATGCATGCCTGCATGAATATTGAGCTGGAGTCACGCACATCGGGGAGGGGGGGCTAAAATCTCTTGAGGGGGAAGCTAGAAATACAACATAGAAATATGATTGATGTTTGGAAAACAGCTATACATTAAGTGCAACTCTGGAACACTGATGATCTGGACTGCGGGTCGTTTGCCCGCAGCACACATCGTGCTTGTGCATCCAAAAGTAGGTCTTGTTTATAAACAGTGAACATCATTAATGGCCTATGACAGTTTCATCAGGCAGAGAGTGAGACTTACGGATTTCTGGGATTATAATTTGTCAGTGCACAGCTCTGCCTTGTTATGGTTGTGAGGAAAGGGAAATCAGTCCCCTCCCCCCCCCGGCGACAAAGTTTAATGACACGTTTTACCCTAATCGCGGCATTGTCTGGCGGAGATATGGTGGCAGCCTTGTCAGAGAGATTTGATTAGGGGCACAGCACGTTGGTGGAGTTCAACTTCGAAGGCCGACAGCGAAACACAAAAATGTTCCCCTCCTTTTGCCCAACCTCTGGGCTTGCACTAGTGATGATGACTGGTTGCACATTGTGGTCTATAAATAGCCCAGCGGCCGGTCCTGTGACATGCCCTGGGGCTTTGACTCATAATCAGTGATCTGAATTTGGTCTAAAAATGAGCCGTTGACTCAGGCAACATTCGCAGATGTACATATATTTATGTACATTAATTGGGTTGTGCATCACACTGCGTGTGTCTGTTTTTAGGGAGGTGTGGCGTTGGATAGGTGGAAGTACATCATGCAGTCAGCCACCCTTCACTCTTCTTTCCACTCACTCCTGTCCTGTCTCAAATTGTGCATAAAGTGGTCAAGGCTCTAGTGCACCTCATGGTTGGTGGTCCATTTATTTAGTCACCTCTTGGAGCAAACCTGTGGGTTGACAGTATTCGCACTGTACACGTAGGTCTGATCAGTACTCCAACAACTCTCCCTTCGTCGTGTGGCATACATGTATCTGCCAGGAGTACATGTGCGCACCGTTAGCCAGCCAACAAATGATAAAAATGCTTTATGAAAAATAGCCCAACTAACCCAGACTATTCCAAAGGATTCTTTTAACATTAACCTGTATTAAAAGGGTTCAGAACCAATACCATGCTGCTCAGCACACAAATATTTGAGGGGAAAAAAAGGTGTAATCGCACTACACATTGAAGAAAACACAGTCTTTAATATTCTGCTACTCGTAGGTCTAGGAGATACTGAGGCAATCACAAGCTTGCTTGGCTGGAATGCAGACCCCCCCTCCCGGACATCCTGCTTACCGGTGCAGACGCCTTAACCACCCGACCACCGAGTTTAGTGGGTTCCAGTCTTTGCATCGGGGGTGTTAATTGTTATATGACATTTTTGGGGGATGTTGAGTTTATATTTGGTTTTGGCTATTACCCCATTGTATTAATCCCTTCAGTGTGTTCCATGTGTTTTTTTTTACTTACGTAGAATATGTACATGCTCCAAAACTTTTTTCCCCACAGTACAATGAACCTGTATAGGTAAGCTTTACTCCACTTCAACCAAAGGAATGTTATACTTTCTGTTTGTAAGGTGGAAAGTGCACGCACAGCCGAAAGATCCAGCTGGCAGTCTCATACATATGCTGTATCAAATTTGTGATGTACAAATTAGGGCAGTTTGTCTACTGCAGAGCTGGCAGAGTAATTTTGAGCTAACCAGTTCAGCTGTTGCTTCTGTGATATCGAACCCAGGCTGGAGCAGAAGTAAACGAGGCTGTTTTTTTGTCCCACAGGCTTCGAGGTTGTCCGTCAGTAATGTGGTGTGTTGTTTTTGTCCACCCGTAGGCAGTTATTCCTGAAATTCAATGAGATATATGGTGTTGAATGTTCCTGTTTTATATGTCCTAAGGTATAAGACAGTGTACTTGGGCACCAATCAATTTTGTGCTGTTTTTTAATGTCTTTTTAGGAGAAAGCTTCAAAAAAACATTGCAAGGCCTCATGAGATTGTCTGGAAAATTTGTTTCCAAGTTTTGTGTACCTGTGGATATTACGCCACAGTGCTGGTACAGAGAGAATTTACTTGGTGAAAGATATCTTTTTGTGGGAGTGAGACAACGTTCAAGGCGAAGTCTTGGAAACATTGTGAGGCCTCTGGAGAGTTTCTGGAAAAAATTTGTCTCCAAGTTTTATGTACCTGTGAGCACATAGACATTAGGCCACATCCTAGTCAAAAGGCACATTTCAGAATTTCTCAAGTTATCCTGGTGTGAGAAATCCTTGAAATGTCATCACGCTGTGGTTTGTGAGATACATCCCCCCCCAAACAGATGGCTTTGAAAATAAACAGGAGAGATTTGACACTGTTGGATTCCTGGTTGCCGCATGTGAGAACATAAATTTGGCCACTTATTTCACAACATCTGTCAAAAACAATTTAAAAAATTGGTTGTAAAATCACATTCCCCTGACAGTTTTGCTTTTCTGATTGGACTGAGATTTGATACATGTACCAGGTGGGAAGAGGGTGCCTGTAACCCCTAAATGGCACATTCTTTCTTTAAAATGAGAACTGGAGTTTCGCCACTTTGTCTCTCCGGAATCTTCACAAAATTTCGGACTGCATGACATTGTATCTGCTTTTTCTATTATCTGTCAGCACTGATAATGTGATGCGTTTATTTGACCTGGATGAAATTACTCCCTCTCTCTCATTTTTGTCCAGCCGACCAGGAGGCGGCCAGTGCAGCAGCCAGAAAGAACCGCATGGCAGAGCCCAAGAAGGTGGAGCTGAACCTGGAAGGCATCAAGGACGAGGCCGTCCTGAGACAGATGGTGGGTAGTTCGCACGTCTTCCTTTTGGAAACCTGTGATCTGGGTTTGGAACCCCACCCGGGCTGACATGTACTAGGGTTTTCTCTCCGTCGTGTCCAATACTATTAGCTTTCCTTGGAAACTTGCGTTTTCCTATACCCTTGTACAAGTACATGTACATATACATATATTTCTCTATGATTTCTATAGATTTTGTAAGGCTTGCGGACTACTCAGGTTGTTTGAGAAATGATACAGTTTGTTCCTGTGCTCAACATTATCAACGTTTTGAACATCATTTGGTCACTCTACTGGCAATAGCAATTTTGATTTTATTTTTCGTGGGATTGGAGCCATTTAGTCTCAAATTCTCAAATGGTCCTTTTCAGTGGTAAAGTGCATGAAGTACGGGTCACATGAAGTTTGGTGCAGCTTCCAACTGGCCGTAATACCATTTCCAAATTGGGCAGTTAATTTTGTTTCTTTGTCATGCGTTAAGCGGTCATTCCAATCAATTATTTTATCTCTCTCACTTTGAAATCACAGCTAGAGGAAACGGAAGATGTTGAACACAAGAAACAGATCCGCACAGCCATCAAAGATTTGCGACAAAAAGCCAGAGGTAAAAGAAAATAAAGAATTGAATCGTAGCACCCAACTTCAGTGTAAAATTATTGCAACTTTATTTGCGCTGAGTTCCTGCAACCCTGATGAGAGTTGACCTCATAAAACAGGTTCAAGTACATTTGGAAGACAAGTTTTTTATAGAGCTACATGTATTTGATCAAAAAAGCCGAATTAGGCATTCCTGCACCGAGTATTGTACTGTAAGTGTACTTGCATGAGCTGAAGGGAGCCCAGCTTGCTTGACTCGTTAGAATCCATGCCGAGCATCCCCCACTGTCTTTAGTCAGTCTCTATGAGGCGGAGAGGCAGTGTTTATTTATTCCAGGGCACTAAATCTCTGCCTGGGGTAGCCCCATCAGTTGTCAGCACACCCCCCCTCCCGGATGGGAGGCGCACACCAAGTCTCTATGGCTTCATGTCAGAGCCTGGTAGCCATAGCCTGTCCAGGTGACGGGGACGTGCAAACCTCGCAAGGAATCATAACGCACCGGATCACACATCTGTCCAGTGTCCAACTGTTTGACGGGATTTGTACCAGCACAAAGTAGCAAGTCCATGAGACTGCCTCAGGCTCACAAGTACATTAAAAGATACAAGTCAGGTCATTTGTTATTTGCACATATTGTTTAGTGGAGGCAACAGATGTTGCTGAATATCTAAAGAAGGGTACTTTACAACTAGATCTGATGAAGTTTCAGCTCAGTGCATGCTGTACACAAATATTCCGACAAAAAACAGTATCCCAGGATCTTAATTTCAAATCAAAAGTTGCCAAGTTCATGTCTTGAATTGGGCCTGAATTCAGCATCCAGCACATGCTCTCATTCATCCGATTGCAGCTACATGTGCGGGATGGTTGAGCGCTGAACCGAAGAATGACAGTAACCACGGTGTGTGTGCATTGTTTCCATGCATGCATGCTCTTTGCCATATTAAAAACGACCTACTTACGGCAATTTCCCCTAAATGCATCTTCAGCTAGTTGGTGGGAAATGGCCTTCTTTCATCACTTTCTTTGCAATGAGAATGAAAAGCACAGCGAGTTTAGTCCCTTAACTATCTTCAAACCGAATACATGTATGCTTATCAACAATAATTTCGTCAGTTTCATGTACTTCATGGACAGCTGCGACTGAGACTGTACCTTTTTAAGCCAGTTTTACAGAATTGAACCAAAACCTGCCCTCCTAAGGAATCGTTTTCTCCAGAAAAAAATTTGATATCTTTTTGAAGTATTTTCTGAACATTTTCACAATTCAGGCATGATGAAATAGGCAAGTCCACATTTGTGCATGAGGTATCAACAACTCTGTGTTATGTTCAATTAAATGAACTCTTCATATCCCCGACATTGATAAATTGTTTTTAGTCCCAGTTTATGAATGTATTCAACAGAGCTTATTTTTTTTGGGGGGGGGATATCAACGACAAGTCTGTGTGAAGAACATGTATGCCCTGCCCAAGAAGTGATGAGCTCTACAAGGAATGAAGTTCCATAGGAGATACCCATAAACTTTATTCTCCCATCCATTAAATGACCAAAGACTTCTTGAGGTTTCTGTACACTTGCTTTTTCCTCCGAGCTTCTTTTCTTTGAAGACGGAGCGAATGATTGACATGCACGTACATTAGACACAATATTGACACTGAGCCAACACTCTGATGACATGACTTTTCTCACATTCTGTTCCATTTTTATTGAGCATCGCCCTGGCGGCGTATTCCCTCGAACCATCTGGCGCAGATGCGGCAAGCGCATTCTTCTTTGCCCACTGTCTTTGAGATTTCCCAAGCAGGCGATTGCTGCAGGCTTGGCAAAATGCCAGATAGTTATTTTCTCAGGATCCTATTTATTTGGAGGACTATATTTAGAGATTTGCCGGGTGGAGGGTTTGGCCTAGGATGTGCACATAATGTGCATTCCTGCCTTGGAGGACCACCGTCTAGTCCAATTGGCATCTAGGTACACACAGGATGTTGCTTTCCTCCCCCCAGGGATTTTTTTCATATCTTAGCCAGTGAAAGCAGTCCGTTTGGTATATCTCTTTTTGATTTGGGGTCAGAGGCTTGCATAGTTGCAAGAAATATGAGTAACAGTTTTTGGATGTTCTGTAAAGCAAGGAGGGGGAAAGAAAGTTATATTTTACCTAGATTTCTGACTGACTTCAATTTGTTTTGTGGGAGAAGAAAAGTTTTTCTCACCCTGTTTGAGACTTCTACTTCCTTTGAGCGTCATGTTTAATTGGATTGTGAAATATGCACCGGTAACCTCAAAGAAAAATTGAAGAAACATGTGACAAAATAGTGTTGGAAGAAGCACATGCAAATGTGAGTCAACAAACTTTCTGAGATAACCTTGCAGGGTTTATTCTCCGGGGCTTTAAAAAAAAATGAGGAAACAGTTTTATTTGAATGACTGATGTCATTGGGAATGTTCTAGATATTCCTCTCGTCATTTCAGAGTATTCTGAATATGGCTAGTCGGACAGTATCTGGATGCTTGCTGTATCGCCGATGCATAGCTCTGCAGCGCATGTCCCGCCAAGTATTCACGATGACATTCTTGGGACGTCTTGAGGGAGTCAGCTCCCCCCCCCCATATCACAGTGTGCTCCCGAATGCCGAGAGATTGGGTCTATCCTGGGACCCATTACTGTCACAGCCGACTAAGAGTGAGGGGTTTGGAAACCATTGATGCTAGCCATTAACTGGCTTGTAGCAGTTGGTTATCCTTCGAGACTGAGGACTTAGGACAATGGGTGTATGCAGTAGCAAAAGCTCTGGGGACCTGAGCAAGTCCTCAGGAGATTTGGTGTACAAACCTGATGCCATTGATGGGGCACGTCAAGTCGAATCAACAGAAGCAAATGAACAGATCAAGAACAGGTCCTCATAATTACATTATAAAGCACGGCTGCATACTTGTGTCATTGGGTGAAAAAGGAAAAAAAATGTATTACAGAGTTTGCCTCAAAAAATTCAGAAAGTGACGACCAAAATGCCACTTTTTAATATCTGTTGCTAACATAACAAATTATACTTTTTTGGTTGAATTACAAATTCACAAATAACCGATCCACTCCCAAACACAACTCCTTACTCATTTTTTGTCACAGTTCAGAAACCGGTGTTGTTTTGGAGTCCATCGCAAGTTCCGACAAGTCCCTGTAAGTCCTGTCACAAGTCCATCAAAAGTCATTCAGTCTTGAGCCAGTTCACAAGCTACATGTATTCAAATGAGCTGTGACAAAAGCATTCTTTGTCATTGTTCACCCTTTACTTATGACTGGCCTTGTGAAGGGATTGTGACTAGACTTGCAAAGGGACCTGTGAAAGGACTCGTAATGGACTCGAATGCAATACTGTCAGAAACCCATACCTGAAACTCCAGCATGCCCCCCTACCCCTCCCCGGAAGAATTCCAAATAAGTATCTGAGGCAAAGGGTTTTTGGGTGCAAGCCTCATATTTATGGAGATTCATGTCCGCTTCGATATGTTTAGAGATGCAGGGAAATTGAAATCTTGATTCCTTGCATCTGCTTTTGCCATCGTGTGTTCTCATTTTTCCCTCACAGTTTGACGGAACGATGGTAGTTTTTGCAGATGGCTTTTTTTTTTAACTAGGACGTCACATCTGTTTAGATGCTATCACTTTGATAGCATGTATATCGAAGTGTCCTAGTGGATGTTCACAGGAGGGGGTCTTCTGTCATTCTGTGTAGCAGGGGGGGATGGCAGAGCTTATGGCAATTCAGGATGCTCCCAAACCGCATCATCCATCTTGTTTATATCCTGCCATAAACACAGAGCCTTGATATTTATCCACCGTAAACACAGCCGGTCCCTTAGGTTTACGGTCTGTGGGGGTGTCATGACTTACAGAGGCCAGGAATGATAGTATCTAGCCGCAAATTGTGTAATGGAGAATCTTTGTGTTTGCAGTGCGAGCCGTGAGGATGTCACGGCCCATAAATGTCTGGGCAGAATGAAAATGCTATAAACGAAATGTTTACTAAGAGTATTCCTTGGTTGCAGGCTTGTCTGTTTACTTCTTGTGCTGTGTTTGATTTTCTCATTCATTTGGTTATCCATGTGGTGGAGTGGAGGTATTTCAATCCGATCTGTTGTCTGAACAAAATTTCTGGGCATCCTAATGGAGTTTTTGAGACTGCCGTTCATGATGTTCCTCTGTTGTGCATTTGTATCTCTTTTCATCAGATGCTGCAGAAGAGGTCATCGCTAAAGAGGAGGAAGACTACAGAAAAAAGATGATTATTCATGCGGATGAGGTATCTGAGAAATGGGAGTGAATTCTCCACTTTCTGTTAATTCCAATCGCGGCACAGAACACCGGGCCAATTTCGTACAGCTGCTTAAGCACAAAATTTGCTTAATTGCGTCAAACCTTGTGCTCTATGTGATTGTCATGCTAACCAAAACACAGCTAAATACTGTGCCAAAGCAGTCTACATCACGTGGAGTTTCAGTTTTGACTGATACCCCGATTTATCAAGCAAGGTTTTTTCAAACTTAAACAAATTTTGTGCTTAAGCAGCTGTATGAAATTGGCCCCAGCTGTTCCCACGTTAAATCCCATTTGAGTGTGTTAACTTCTGTAAATTAGAAATGGGCCTTGACATCCCAGTTTGGTAACCAAAAATCGGCCATCTGAGTTCAGCCTCAACACTGTGTTACAATCGAGCAGATGGAAAAAGTGACCCTTTGCATCCATAACACTGTGTCACACTTTTTTTCACCCTCAATGCCGTGTCACATTTGAGCAGGTGTAGCTTGTTTTCAACCTTCTCAAATGTGTTCAATTAGTTTGGAGTCGGCGATGCGCAACAGTGAGCACTCTTCAGCACTGAGGCTTTTTTTCTTAGAGTTCGGCCTTGTCGCGAGATCTGACTTCACCTCTGAGCCCAGAACCATTCTGTAATAAAAGCCTTTCAGTATGCCTTTAGCAGAGGACTTGGCTGTTAGATTTGACTTCACCTCTGACCCCAGAACTATGCTGTGAAGCCTTTCAATAAAGCCTTGTCCAAATAACTTGGCTGTGGCTTGAAATTTTCCCCAAATCTATGGGAAGTGGTTGCAGCCACAAACACAGACTTCTGTGTATTTTCAAGCCAGCCAAGTCACTTCGGCACAGCCATAATGAAAATGCTCTTCTTTCTCTTCAAACACCAGAGTGTTGACTCATGTTGAGTAGAGAATCTTGAAAGTGCCGGATCTAAAAATTGGTCGAAGCCAAAATTTTTATGCTGACGTTAAACCCTGGCTATGTTTATTTTCCAGGACCACATCCCAGCATTGTCAGTAGAGCCAGTAATTCCTACGGAACAGGTCGTCGATTTCACAACCATTGATGACATCTCTACCCTGGAGAGAATGGTAGGTCCCACTCCCTGGCAGTCTCCTCTTTATCAAAGTGCCCATGAAGCAGCTACATAACAAAAGGAATGTTTGGGGACATAAAAGGGTATTTGTTTCAGTTTTCAAATCGGCGAGAAGAGAAGGCTCATACAAAGTGCATTTATTTTGTACTCGTCACGTTCCCCCGCTTTATGGCTGAGATTTATAACACCAAAATCAAGGCAACTTCTGATTCTTGTGCTTCTCAGGAAAGAAAAGCAAACGGCATCACGCAACTTTTCGTGTCTCCGGCACAAAAACAAAACAGAGCTAAAGAAAATAAAAATTTCCTAAGTGACTTAAATAGTTCGAATTGCATTGCTATCACCTGTGAAGTGGTCCTGATTTTCAATTTCAGTCCTCATTGCATCGTGTCATACTTTTCCTCTCAGAAAAGATTTGAATAGTTGAAATGATACGTTACTTGCATAACGTTCCTTGGAGAAAAAAGTTGTCCTTGTAAGTGATTCTTCTGGGAGCAAAGCAATCCTGAACTTGCTCCGGGCATGGTTCATTTTCAAAATAACGTCCAGCCAATGCCTGCAGTACTTTTTCGTCACCGACAGCTGGCGAACACGGAAGACTTTGGCGAGCGTAGCCAGATCCGTGCCCACATCAAGGAGTTGCGGGAACGCGAAGAGCTGGAGGTGCCCGACTACCCTGGGGCCCGTCGCCTCTCGGAGGGGCTGGATGCCGACATCTGGCTGACGGAGAAGGATCGTAGGCGGAGCAGCTTGATCGACAGGGCAGCCCTGGAGGAGTTGACGCTGACGCCGGACGTCGTGGAGAACGTGGCGTATGACGAGATTGAAGATCCCGCTGAACTGGAGAAATTGGTGAGCATGGATTGCCAATGGAAGTTTGTCACCAAACTTGACGCTGAAGGCTTCATATTGAGTGCCTCAGTACATTATCAATCACGGGGCCACATTCAGGCGTATTTCAAACATGTAAAAGCTGCATTTTTGTGCAGAGTCTGACGAAAATATTTTGGGACAGGGGGGAGTCCCTAGATGATTGATGCTCAACCTAAAATGATAATGGGAGGGCCAGAGAGTGTGATACTTTTATTTCTGGTTCTTGTAGCTGGAGAATGCTGTTGACATTGGTGAGAAGCGATTGATACGTGCTGCACTAAACGACCTGAAGAAGAGACTAGCAGGTAAATATTCATAAGGTCTCATTGAATATGCATGAGTGATGAATATTCAAAAGTCTACCATTGAAGTTTATGGAGGCCGCTGAAGTATTGTTGGTCTTTATATTCCTCTGAGTACACTCTTGTAGACATAAGAATTTTCTAAGTCAGTGCCTATTTCAAAAGGAAACCAGCCCCATCTTTGCCCAGTTTACAGACTTGTAGTCATCAAAGAATGTATGAAAAGAAGGTGGTTTGAAATTAAATTGTGCAACGCAATTAAGAAATATGCCAGTCGGTCTTGGTAAGTACCCACCACCCCATTACTATCATTTATCCTTTCACCCGCGGGTAACAGCGTCAGGCTGACTGATTTGGCCCACCCGTGCAGTCTCTCGGTATTGCCATTTGTACACAAACATTTCCGTCCGTGCTTTTTGGAGGCCGTAGCTGCCACTGGAAAAGTCATCTGTAGAAAGGAGGCAAGATCATGCCTTTTCAAGAGATGACATACTTGCTTTCAGATAAAGTTTGGTTCCCCCATTCCATCCTATCTCTTCTGTGTCCTTTTCCTTCTTTTTCCTTCTGCATCTTCTCTTACATCTTTTTTTCCTGTCTTTTTCCTTTTCTTTTCTTTTTCCATCATTTTTCCCCAGGTGGCAACAAGGATAAGAAAGCCTCGGAATCTGCCCAAACTAGCACCACCGGTTAGTCCCTTGCAACCTCCTAAACCAAGGGGCAGTCGTCTTCCTGTTTTGGGCACAGGGTTTTTCCCATTAAGAGTCCATGAATAGACCGGGCCAAAATCATGGAATTTCCAGAGGAGTCATGGAAGTCCTGGGAAAAGTGGGGCAAATCCTGGAAAGGGTATTGGCAATTGTGGAGAGGTTGATGGAATGCCATGAGAAATTCGTTAGTATCCTGAAAGACATCCTGAATATCCTGGAAAATGTTGTGGACATTTTACAAAGGGTTTGATAACAATCTGTCATCTTGTTTTTATTAATGTGGAAATACTTGGAAAAATCCTGGAAGCACAAGCGGAGAAACCACTGAGAAACAAGTCGTAGCAGCCCCCCCAAAAAAGCAAAACTTGAAGCATGTGGTTTTTGGAAAAAATCATGGGAATAACGTGAGATCTTAAATGAATGGATTGCCAAAAATTTCCACTTTTTCGCCCATACTTGCTCAGATTCATGATTTTTCTGTATTTTGCTTGACTTCATGTGGCGTCACAGTTTATCGTTCGCATGTTGTGCAATTTCTCCTACGCCATCTTCAAGAGTTTTTTTGAAAAACGGCCATGGAAATTGTCGCTCTGTAGCTCCGAGACGTAGCACCCAATTTTCCCAAAACTGTCGTAGATCAGACACCCAAAATGTTGGAATGTTTGGTTGTGAATAGTACAGTGAGGCATGATGTGATTGTGAACCATGTGGAAGGAAAAAAACAGTTTTGTTGGCTTGTATGTACCTGCACGGATGCCCCTTTAAGGGGCGGAGCGAGTGGTAGCAAAGTCGGTGGTAGCAAATTTGATCCTCTTCAGAAAGACTTGTGTACAGTTTTTCTTTTCCAAAGTGATAGCAGATTTCATTTGTTTTCCTCCTGTCTTTAGCGTGTAAGCAAGTGCAACTGCTAGCCTGTAGTCTTATTTATATTCAAGTAAGCTTGAATCTTTGATTTTGATGGGTCAATCCATGGCAATAAACAATGCTGTTTATTCCCACATTATGTGACATACCACGGTCCACGTCACGCCCCACGCACATGCATGGGTTTAGTGCGTTACATCCCCTACGCCATAAAGGCTCAGAGCTGCCCAATCCTGGACAACTTAAAAGTGTCACATTGTCAGCTGGGATAATTCAGCTCTCACATTGGTGACACACCTCCTGAAAATAGTTTGAAAGATGAACGGCAACAGCAGCTTCATGCTGCTTTCAGAGGACGTCAGCTCGTCCTTGGACTTTATCTGGGAGAAAAAAAATGCACTGCGTGTATGTTATTGGGTACTATGAGAATGTTTGCCCCCTTTAAGTCCAACATTTTATTGCTTTAAATTTCGGTCAGACAATGTGAATTGTAAGCTGTCCCAGCATAGGATTCTCAAAGAACAATCGTTTGGTTTGAAGTTTTGCCACAATTGTGCCCGTGTTAATCAGGATAAAGTGTGACTGGTTCTTCCGAACCAAGGCCTGCAACGAGGGGTTTTGCAAAATGCAGACATGATTTGACTTCAAAATGTACAGATGTCTGGAAATTTATCCATGGCCATTTCTGGATACACGTTGGCATCCCTACTGTTGAACTCAGTCTGCTTGAGGTTATCCAACCCCGTGATTTTGGGTCAGATAAGAAAAATTTGGGCTTCTTTACCCTGATGCTTCGTCGCTATGTTCACATCGCACTTTGTCTGAGTCACATGTCACCTGCACCTAATTTCATCAGAAATATTGATAATAATCTGATCTATTGAAATTACATTCATGTTAACCATGCCAAGAGAAAATAAAATTTTTGATGCGTGGGCCTTTGCCTATTCAGTGTTAGTTCAATGAAACTGACTGAACTGTTTATTTCTGGTGTAAAATTGTTTATGAAAGATTGTGGACTGGGAAGTAGTTTTGAAGATTATAAGTGACACATTGGGCTCATCAGAAACTCTCTACAGCTCTTCAAGGAATAATTTACATGGTGCTAATTGGTATTCGACTTGTATTTCAAAGTATTTGTTTCGGCTGGAAGCAAGAATCTCCAATATTAGATATTAATGTATTCATATGTGCATAATGCCTATTTAATGTGCTTGGATTTGAACCCTGCATTTCTTGGAAGCCCCAGGTATTTATTATTCATGAACATTTGTGATTCAGCAGAAAGCCATTGCAATATTGTACAGCTTTAGTGTGGATGAATTTGCTTCAGATCTGCATGAAAATCAGTGCAGATTTTTTTTTACTTGTATATCGTAACACTATCGTTTCTTTTTTTTTTTTTTGGTCTCTTTTATAAACAAGTGATTAAATAGCTAGCGCTCAGGAGGTTAGTAATTGGTGCTGTGGCTGCAAAGGATTGTGGGTAAGGATGCTGTATGCGGGGCTGTACAGTACTGGGGATGGGAGGGACTTTTAGGGGCTGAGGGCGCTGTTGTGGACATTATTTATTTGAGATTTTCAGTCGTCCTCCTGAAAAATTGCTTTGTATTCACTTGTAGTATAATTAGCTTGCGGCAGTGAAAAAGCATCAATAACTTCTGTACACTAGATTCTACTTAATAAAAATAATTTATGGTTGAGCTAGACATGAAGCCATGGTCTCAATTTTGCCTTTATGTACACAGCAAATGGGACTGGCACTTCTATTCCGTGCAGAAATTTCGGCATAACAAACATTCTATTAGGCGCGGCTGAATTTGCCTGAATGAGGGTCAACCTTATTCAGGGTAGGTCTGGCCATTAATGGGTTGGGTGAGCACCGAGCGGCCCATCTCGCATTGTACCATCCCCTGCCCAAAATAACAAATGTCACCATGCTCGTGTGGCAAGCAATCGTTAGTGTTTAGTACAGCCTGACGTTGTAAACAACCATTTGGTGGATGGAGCATCAAATGCGTACATGCATCACACCCACAAATGTTGTGCCGTCAGTTTGGTAGTCTTCTGATCGTGTTCTTTGGATTAATTTATATGCCTGCCATGCAAGCTCTGAAATTGAAGGAGGGGGGGATTTGAAACTATTATGTAAACTTCTAATCTACATGACTCCAGCGAAGGAGATGCAATAGTAGAATTATATTTAAAAGTGTTTTTATGAAACTGTACAGGAAACTTCTTTTGATAATGTGTGCCTATGAATATTGCCTTCACTAATACATAAATGTATTGGGAATGGAGAGTTTGGAAAAAAGTTTTATCTTTTCTGCTGTGTATTTTTTCTAATTTTTTTGGCCTTTTTTGTTGTCGTTTTATGTCCCAATAAAAGGACATTGAAAATTTCACCTTTTATAACATGGAGTATGTTTCACTTTTCAGTTGTACTATGAGTGTTGGTTGTCACGGTGTCTCCGGTCATTGGAATGCCCAAACCCTGTTTGCAAATTGAAAGGGGGAAAGTCTTGCCCCCCAAAAAACTTGCATGAACACCACCCCATGTGTTCAAGAAAAAATTGTATGTGTTTTAAATGTTGTGCGCATTCATTCGTGTTACATTTATTGGAACTGAATTTGAATTGGTAGTAGAGTATTTGTAAAGTGTTACATGTCTTGTTTCCCCTTCTGTATCAGTTTGCATTATTTGTATTTACAATGAGCCAATTCGGTATTTCAAAAAGGCAAGGTAATTTGAGAACAAAGAATGCGAGATTGAAGATGTTCAGTGCATTTGAGTTGGCATGTGGCTGCGCTGGAAGGGATGACCTCCCATGCAGGCGTCGCTATTCTTGACAGACCTCTAATGCACTTCGTTTAAGGCATACGCTGTTGGAATACCGAACTAGCTCCTTGCTGGGTTGAGAACTGTATTGTAAAGTACACGTATTGTAATGTATGTGTAGCGTACATTTGCTTCAATGTTCCCCTGCCTTAGCTGTCAATAATCGTAATTGTGGAACTGTTTGGTTGGCCTGACTGGACCATGGCAGTTGTGGGGGAAACTCCATAGTAATTAGAAGAGTTTATCCAAAGACATCTTTGGAAAACCACCATTTACTGCCTTTAGTGATAATGAACAGATTGCGCCAAAGCAATGGGTAATTGCTTGTCTATTTCTTTCTGATTTGGGGGAAAATGTGTTGGCATAAGCAGCTTGAATTATAACACGGAGCGCCGTGGAATTTAGATGAAGGAATCAAAGTTAATCCACATAAAAATTGGGCATAATTGTAAAGGTTTCAGTGAAAAGTGAATTCGAAGTCTTGATCTCTGTGTTCTGTTTCTATGGTACGGTGCCCTGCATGTACGTGTACGTAGCGCCCTCTTGTGAAAATTCCCCATTCAAAGTTTTTTAGATTCTTCGGGCATGCTTTTTTAAAATAGTGCCCTCTATGGATGTAAACAAATGCAGTCAGTATTGAAATCTCACCCTCATTTAAATTTGTGGTAACTCAGCAACATTGCATGATGTTGGCCCAACTTCATATTTCGAATTCCTTCCAAGCGTGTGGTTCGCTCTTGAGATTTTTTTCATGATTTTTCATTGTATCAGAGAAGTATTCAAATTATTTTGTTTTTATTAACGGCAGCATGAGAAGGGAGCCCTCTGTTGAGAGTAGGTAATCAGTGTGTCTAGCTTTGTACCTACCCAGCAGGATATGAATATTCATGATAGAACACCACTGCTCATGCCTGTCCTATGTTATTTCAATTTGACTGGCAGCTGGGTATCATTGGTATGTGATTGCGTAGACTTCCAGCAAGGAACGGATATCCATAATGAACATCACTCGGTTGCCAAATCACTTGAAATAGCTCCCTCTGTGAATGAAATAATGTTTGTTACAGGTTGATGGCATTGTAGAAAATTCTTTGGTTGTGAAGAAAAGTTGAAATCACATTTCTTGTTTTCAAGGTTTAGATTAGTGGCATCAAAATTTTTTCCCAAAGGTCATGGAAAGGAAGTTTGAAAATTCATTTCTGTGATATCTTTCTCTTTTTTTATTACTACAGATGTGTCTTTCTACAAACCAGAAGTCAGAATATCACCAAGTGATGAAGAACCAAAGAAGACATGTTTGGAGGCTAAAGGAACGTTAAAAGTCAATGACCAGTCAAAGAAATCAGATTCTTCAAGTGATAAAACAAAATCTTTCCAAACTAAGGAGAGGCTTGAAACTTCACAGAAAGTCGACTCCAACAAAACTTCTGAACGTTTGTATAGGGCAGATGCTCTTGAGATGAAAAGTGAAGCAACGCTCTCCAAGAAAAGCGAGACAGAGAGAGAGAATAAAGAGAATGAGAGTGTGCCCCAGAGTTCAATGACCTCTTGGGTATCAGGTGTATATCAAAAGCCCGAAATCAGACCGTCCAAATCTTCCACCACTGCCCAGCACCGGCCCAAAGAAAAGAACAACAATGGAATTAGTATTAAACCAGCCTCCAAACTCTCAGTGAGTGCTGACCCTGGTAAGACCAAACGACACACATCGTATCTATCAATTCCGTCCAAGAATGATTCGACTCAGAAGGAGAATGAGAAGAACAACAAGGAGAGTGCCCTGGCTGCAAGAATGTCCAAGTTCACGACAATCACTGACTCTACCAAAGCTAAAACTGGTGACCAGTCGACCTCATCGACCCCTTCGACCTCAAGGCTGGACAAGAACGGGAAGGAGGCCAAAGATGCCAGTCTCTTGAGCTTGCGACTGTCAAAGAGCAGCACGCCGACCTCGGATACCCACAAGGGGAAGTTGTTTGGCTCCAGAACGCCATCTGGTTCCAAGCTGGACAGCCTAAAGAGTAAATTCTCAGGAACTGAAACACCAAGTCAGCAGGAGTTCAAGGTTAAGGACAGAGCTCTCAGAGGTGAGACTTTTGGGGGATTTCATTTTCAGTACCTCCAGGGTTTTTTAAAGATGTCAAAGTTTGGTTTACTCATCCCTAGATGTCATCGTCTAGTAAAAGCTCTCATCAGTAATTTGCTTTGCATTTCAGGGACTGAGGGCAAAGTGAGTGAAGCGGCCAGTAAATTCGGTGGCAGCTGCAGTGGTAGCAGCTGCGCCACCACCCCCTCACATAGCCCCGCTGGCTCCGCCCCCTCCTCCCCAAAGAGATACGTTGGCACAAAGGCCTTGGCAACCTCCCCAGTTGCCCAGAAGCCCTTTGAGTTTGGAAAGATCCATAACCCGGCCCTAGCCCCCACACCGCGGAGTTCCAAGTCAACCGAGAAGTCTTCCATCAAGCTGCAAGCATCCCAGAGCGTGCCTTCTTCAAAAGTCGCCACGTCCAAGTTTGAAACCCCCACGTCAAGCACTTCCAACACATCAGTGTCTACTCCTCACAGAAGCAAGGACTCCAAATCCACCAAAGTAGAGGTTCCACTCGGGAAATTGTTCTCCCTAGAGTTGCATAAATCAGGGGACAAGACCATCACAGTTGAGGTAAGAGATTTGCCATTTTTGCCTATTCCGCAAACCTACTCTAAAAAGTTGTTCCCAAAATTGGCCCAGTGCATTGCTGAGTCGCAGTGGTGTCTATTGGATTAGAATGCAGGGGTATTTAATTGCTCATCACTGGAGTACTGGAGCACCTTTGTCCCCGCTGATAATCCGTGGGCGCTGAATGCCACAAACAGTGGTATACTGTTTCAAAACAATGACAGATTACCTCCGAAAATGCCAGCACTCTGTGCTGAAAATTTTTGGCAATTTCCAGCAGCTCTGTCATTTGTTCCAAGTCCGGTCTTTTGTTACAAGGCCCAGTTCCTTTTGTCCGATTTCAGGCATCCCGGTCATGGGTATAAAGCCAATGTGTCTGGTATCGGACTCCCCGGCGCTGAGTGGTTAATGTCCCTTTTCCACTTACTATTGCAACAAAAAAATCACCTGAATGATTCTGCCCTATAATCCCACATATCAAATATGGCCATATTAGCATTTACCATTTTAGCACTTCCTTTTGAAAAGCTTTGTTTAACCTCTGTTGTTTCAGATTCATACTTAGAAAAAACTGCTTATTACAATGTACATGTACATGTAGTCATCATGGTACAATCTCTTAGAATGCCTAATTTATACAGAAAATACTATTCATTCATTTATGACCTAAGCCCATATCAGCTGAGAGCCACTTATGAGGCCTGTACATTTCAAGGCATGTTGACTTGTAACCTATTGTTGCTAAGCAAATAGTTTTCCTGCTAAGCAGGTCTCTGTGCTAAGCAGCTGGTCCCTGGTCCATAGCTTCAGCCTAGGAGCAATAAGGGCCAAACCAGTATGGGGCCTCCATGTGTATGTGTGCCAACCCCAGTCTCCCATAACACAGTGTTTATGTAGCAGTACGCATGCTGCTCCGGAGTACCGGGCACATTGGCTGTTCCCTTATATGGGTGTCACTCCAGCAAGCATGCATGGGATCCCGTGGCTGCACAACTTAAGTTCAGCGCTGCACTGTGTCTGGCTGCTGGCATGCCAGAGGGCCGAAGGACAGCATCTCTGGTGTTACTCTCCTCGCTGATACTTTCCCAATGGGGCAGGAAACAAAAGCCCTAGTGTGGGAAAAAAGTATTTTTAAAAACCACATCTCCGCCAGTTTTCCCCCTGCCATATGAACTGCTCATTTGACAGACTACTCAAATGATAAATTGTGCATTCACAATCTCTACTAGGCCTAGGTAAAAAATACTTCAATTGCAGAAGTCTCCCAGCTTAAATTTAAAGGACATGAAGGAGAAATTGATCCTGTGAACAAATTCTTTGTGAATGGTTACCGTTTCAAGAAACTGCTTTATGTTCTTTTTTTTCTCTTGTTTAATGGCGAGCTCTTTGGGGTTTTGTCTTTGTCTTTTTCATCCCAAATGGCACCAGTATTGGGGAGTACTTTTACCAATGTGGTATATTTTTTTGGAGGGGATTGGAAAAGGTAAGCTGCAGTATTTTTGGTACTTTGATACATGAAACAGCCATCTATAGTTTTGCTGTGCCATCCATTATGTGATCTGATGAGCATTAGGGCTGATACTCCTCCAGAAAGTGTTTATGTTCCCAGAGACCTTTGAGATAATATCTTGGAGATGTTTGTAGGTAGATGTTCATGTATATGTGATCTTGGCACAGGCAGATAAACGTGGGACTTGCGCCCAAGGGGAAAGTCTTAATTCTTGAAGCGTTGGTAAATATGCAAAAGGCTTCTTCAGTTACCCTAGATGTTTTTATTTCCATATTTTAATTTCATATTAAGTAAGTTTTGCTTGGATAATTTCAAGCTTGATTCTTTTTCCCATTGGATCATGCTAGTTGCATGGTTAACTTGTAAGCATTGATATTAGTTGCTTAAATTTGCATCGATTCAGTATTTTCAGCACAGTAAGAGCTTTTCACTCGCAAAGTAAAAATAAAAACAGTAATTTTTTAGCATGTATTTGGAGTAAGTTTGCAGATCGAGCAAGTAGCTGAGGCAATTAGCACTTGACATGTTTCGAGAAGAAGGTGCTTCCTAATTTGAAGTGCCATATTATACAGATAAGAACATGGCCTGGTCCGGGCAAGAGGGAAAGCAGGAGTCACCCAAGCTCTGTGTGATTTACGCGTGAAATTCATTGGACTTTGTACCACTCCATTGAATGCCGCCATCCAGACTCCACAGTTGAAGGTTTTTTTTTTTTATATATAGGTTTAGGCCACTTTTGAGTGCACTTGTAGATTACAGTGGTGTTAGGTTCAGATACATTTACATATATCATTGAAGTTAAGAAGCTGAATCGGATTACGATAGTGTACATGTACTTATACATATCACTTTCATCTATAGCTCGGATCTGTTAAGCCAGAGTTTGTTGGAATGGTTCCAATGTTGTGTGCGACACAACAAATTTGTACGATGGTGTCCCCCCCTCTCTCCTTTGATGCTGACATTTTGCACATCGGAAGACAGCACTGAATTCATTCAGCACCAGAATTCATAAACTACATGTACATGTACAACCCCCCCCTTTTTTTCACAAAATGTTGACAGCAAACTTGGTTGCGTGCCTGCAGTCACATGACTGGTTTTATCTGGGAACACCCCAAAACCCTGCCATACTCCAGCAAGCACAAGTGTAAATTTGAGACTAATTACAGGATAGTGTCAGTGTGGTGTCAACGCAAACCTGGTCGAGAATTGGTTTGTCGGTTGGTGGAGGTGTCTTCAAATCAGACAACACACCTGGTACCCCGGTGAGGCACTATCCACATATGACACATACATGTAACCTGCCCTGGATATTGGGGACAGACTAAAAGATTTTACTCAGGCCAGAAATTAGGAATGTTTCTCTTATTACAGAAGATAAAGAGCATTCCATGCATTGGGAACTAAGTCAACTGTTATGGAAATTGACATCCTGAAATCAAATGTGAATAGTTAGATGAAAAGTTACAGGTGGGGGTTAGAATGCATAAGTTTGCAATGAGCAGTGGGCCGTTTGAAGATTGTAGGATAGCTCGCTGAATGGTAGTTGCTGTGATACATGTACATGTATGTGCAGCTGCACCAGAAGTCTTTAAATCCTCCGGAAAATGTGCTTGTTTTTCTCTGTTGAATTTTTTTTTTGGGGGGGTGGGGGAATTAGTTTTGTAACTGGTTGTAGAGAGGCAGGTCAGCTGAAGTTGGTATATGGAAGGCTGCATGGCAGATTGCCAAGTTGCCCGATTGCTATCCTGTCCAACTGTTCTATTCATTTCTTCTTGTCTCAGCCCATTTACAGCTCATGTCTCTTTTCAACTGCTTGTCGGGCCACCGTTTTAATTTGCCTCAATTTCACGATGCAGTATCAGAACACCACCTGGCTGGTACATTTCCTGAAACTGCCGGGATCGTGTTTTTTTTTCCATCCCGATTAATCGCCTCTTTACCGTGCTAAGGCGATATCGCACTGATATTTCACAGTCCATTCTGTGGAGGTCACCACGAGTTAATTGCCTTCTCACCTCCGGCCCATGCCAGCTCTGACCAAGGCATGGTGTGCCGTTCTCCCACAGACATGGGGCTGTTAAGACCATGGCATCTCCTCCAGCCTGTTCTCTTTGCAACTGACGTCATTCATACATCTGGCGTGTTAATGCGGGACCGGTTGTTGTGAAAGGCAATTTCTAGTGGGTTGATGGAGTCCGTTTGCAGTTTGGAGTTTGTAATTGTAGAGTGGACGAGATCCGGATATGATTCATATCAATATACAGTGAAGTGAATTAAACACTCACATGTTCATGTGCAATCTGATGCCATTTTCTAAGCAAATAGATAATTGTATTGCAAAGTTCACAAATTTTTGTCGTATAAATTCTGTGACAGCATGGGATGAAAAATCTGAATTAGTTTATATTAAGAAAGTTCACTATCCAGACTTTAAAAAATTCGAAGAGAATGTCTTGCTGTAAAGAGGAAAGTTTTATTTTGTGAATGAGGAAAGTTTCATTTTGTAAACGTGACCAGGTGTAAGAATTGCTGAAAGAGATCTGACCAAAACACAGGATGGAATGACATCTGTAGTCCTTGACATAGACTCTTATCTTCGCCCTATTCAATGGGGGGGCTTCGACCCACAAATTCCACAGTGGTCTCAAAAGCAGAAAAAAAAGAAACTGGGGCCTCATTTACTATAATGCACCTTGGCAGATTATTCCTTTGGACAGGTGCGCCCATCAAATGAGGGCGTTGCAAGAGGTCATGTTAGCATTGACCTCTGCGGACTGATTAACTATCAAAAAGCAGGTGCACTGTCCAAAACTTTGCCCATCTGTGAAAATACATGTATATACTTGGTGTAAATTGATTGGATGAATTGATTACAATATTGATGTTTGAGCAAAATTTCAACCGCAGAATTAAAAAGTGACTATTCAAGTTGTTTATTTGACTCGGGGCCTTGGATTCATAATGTAGCCACATCATCAAAACCAAAATGAAATAAAAAAATTTGTTTTGAGTACACTTTTGGGCTATATTTGTTAACGGAAGGTTGGGCTTCCTAAATCATCCTAAACAGTATTTAAGTTCAAACTTCCTCGAAGAACGTTGAAGTCATTTTCCACATCGGCGGCCTCATTTTGTTTGGCTTTTCTCAGCTGAAGCTATCATGAAAAGGTAGCCAGAAGAAAAATGGTTGCAGTTGGCCAGTCTGGAAGAATTTTTTAGGGGGGGGAATAATTGCGGAAGAATTCAACCTTCGAGCTAAAGGTGCAGGGACCTGACAAAGTTTATATTTAACAACATTTTTGTTTCATTTTTGACGGCCCATCAATTTACAATTATTGCTAATAATTGTGTTTTTGTGTTCCATCAAGGTGGTCCTCATAAAGTTCTTTGACGTTCAGATGCACTTTTTTTGCAGAGAAAAAAAATGAATGTAATCTATTCAGTTTTTGAGGACTGGATTTGGGAAATGCAGCAAAGAAACACATGG